TATATATATATATATATATATATATGACCCTTTCATCATCGTAAGTGGGAGCTGTTCTGGCGGTTCGCCTGCGATGCTTAGCAGGGATTTCAATCCCGCAGCAGGGTCCGCTAAGCTTAGAAGGAGTTCGAAGCTTCCATCCCAAAGCCCGTTTAAAAGTAAAACAATACCAGAAGTCACCACCGTCCTTATATCAAACTAGTCGCATGGTGGCAAATCTCACTATGACTCGCGATGGCCGGTAAATGCATGAGATGGTAACGAACTGAGGAAGGCTTTGTCTAGGATGACCTCGGAAACAAAGGGAACCACATGGGCTAGACCAGCAAATCTCTGTGCTCGGTGCCATGCACACTAGACCTTCCATCTGTGACGTCAGGCGTCAGCAGTCCGGTGGTCCTTTGGTAGGCGCATCAAATTCCATGTGATTGCCACACGAAAGACGGAAAGCAGAAAGGGCAATATACTTTAAGCAGCTGAGCGAATCTTTATCAATCATTGAGGGAAATTTCCATTACGAAATGTTGAAGGCACTGGCTTTGTTGTGCATCCATTTATTTCCAATCTAACTCCCACACATGAAACGATGATATCACCGCGCTTAGCCATTCTTCGTCTCCAACTTCTGCGTCAAAAGAAACTCCTTATCATCAACTTCGTTTCGCAGTTGATATCATCAACCTTCAAGAACTTCAAGAAGCCGCCGCGTGAAGAAAGCTGCGCAGCACACGCAGAGGAATTTAACGATATATTCTGAAATCTGGCTCTGCAACGCGAGATTTTGTTGTCTGATATCGGTTTTCTTAAACCATGGATTTCTGTAGACCTCACCATCAGCTTTACTCTGCCCGCTGAAAATAGTATTTTGATTGGCGAGCGACTTCTTCATCGTGCAGAAGACACTTTCGTATTTTTAATATAACTTCTTGGCTATTGGTTTATCTTTACATGTTCATTCCTTTATCGTCTCAACGTTTACACTGCTTACATTTCTTGATATCGTGATATCGCTATTATGGTATTATTATTGTTGAAATGGTTCAACTAACCAGGTTTAACTTTGCGCTGTAGCAACAAAATGTTTCCGATGGAAAATGCGTATCTAGTCGCGCATTCTACCCATGATGATGATTACTAGGAACTGTCAACTGAATCGAACTAATACATTCTGCGGGACCAACTCACTATACTCCTGGTGAATTGGTCGTCAATATGGAAACGTTTACACTGTGAAGTTTTAATTTTATTAATTTTATAGCAAAACTGAAAAGCTATCTTTATTCCTTAATATCTTCATATTTATATTTCGAGAATCAAAAGATGAACGACAAGAAGGAATCCCTTGTTATCACGAGTGAACTCATAAAAATTTTCAGAGCGATATTTCTTTGAGAAAGGTATATTACCCATCCGTGTGGACTCTGTACGTTTCGTCTCCACGTTGATTACTCAGTTTGGCCAACTCATAGAAAACGGTGAAGCAGCGGCTTTATTCCAATACGATTGAAATCTGGGTTCCGTTATTTTTTCCAGTGAGGTTATGAAGGCGTTTGAGTGAGTGGATTGCAGTTAATGTGACCTTTCCGTGCTCTGAACAATTGTCCCTGATCAAGAAGAAAACGCCAAAATGTGCTTAGTTTGCGCGCCAAATTCCATTTTAATTTCGAATTCTATGTTTGCGATGATTTCAATGATTTGTTCATATATACGGTCCCTTTGTGTTAAATTTTCGATACTTGGCCCTTATGTCTTGATTTCACTTAGCACTACGCAATCGAATTATCTGTTTGTAAGCTTTTGTGTAGTTGTACTCTTAGATTTGCATAGTTGAGCAATTCTTACGATAATCCTGGTACTCTCACTTTTCGCGGCAGAATGGTTTTTCGTCCGGAACCACTAAATGCGTACGGTCCGTAATGCATAATTGATGAATAGTCGTATTGTTCGTTAAGATGATCAATCACATTGAAATTGTACCTGAATTTTACTAGGAATATTATAAATACAAAATGTTGCCTTGCATACGATCATTCTCACTTCTCGAATTGATCATCTGCTCCATTCTGCACATTGCGCCATACGATCTCAATGTAATCATCACGATCCTTTCTGAAGAGCATCATGAACATTAAAAGTGTGCGCAAGGAAGGAATCGGAGAAAACTGTTGCACTTTTTGTCCACATAGGAGCTCAAATGTTCCCGTCCCGTTCTTCGAATCCAACCTACCTGCTTTGTTCATGGAAGAAGCCAACAGTATGCATAAGTTCGTGCACGATAGTTCCTACCTGTATGCAACCAGAGTCTAGTGAAACTGGTTGTCTACCACCTGTCCTAAATATGTAAATACTTTTGAATTGAAAACAACTCATGTATTAGATGATGTTATCTACGTTTCGAAAAGAGCTGCTTACTAATGAATGCGAGGAATCAGCCAGCAACATGATGCTTGGATTCGTAACAGTGTAGTGTCATTACACCTACAGGACTTGTTTTGTTTTGTTTCATTCAAGCCACGTTACCGCAGACATATGATTGAGGTCAATAGTTCTCAGGTTCAACAATACATTATCTATAGTATAAATCTTTTCTGGCAACATTCTTCATTGCTTTTTTCCTCTTTCCTTTCTTTGTTGTTTGACAGTTTTGCTTCTTATTAATTACACGACATCATAGTTTTCACGGAATACTGCCATCTGACGCATCATCAGGAATACAACTGCCGAGCGTATATGAGGTCGTAGATCAGAGTGTTTCATTTTTCAAAAACTAAATTTGAATGGAGGGTACTAGGAGCCAGTGGTGTGCTGCAGTACTTAATTCCGACATTGCCCTTTTTCGGATCATATGATTAATTTTTGTCTTAGCTCCTAGTTTCAGTTTAGCTGCAAAATAAATAAGCTGCGATTAATTCTTTCTACTTCTGTTCACCAAACGCGAGGTGCTATTTTATTTCTTTATTTACGGATAAGCTGACGTTTCGGCGGATTTCGCCTTCCTCAGAGCCTGCAAAGGCCAAGTTGACAGCAACCTATTTGGTCAAACACCTCCATAACCAAACAGAGAAAACGCTAAACCAAGATTTCAATCACATTTAACATAGCCTTGCACACTCACCGCTTTCTATGAGTATTCCACTGAGTATGTCGTGTGAAGACCGACCGCTCAGGATTCACATGGAAGCGTAATGTGCCCCTCCCATCAGAATAATAGCTTTATTCAATATTCATTTTCGGATTCTTGGAATTAATCCAGAATGCCTCTAGATTTTTGCGCGCTTGTGTTCTCGATTCTTGCACGGGGATAGTAACCCCTACTTCAAAATCCTCTCCGTTATGTCTCTGTTTCTCATACTTGCCTAGTGGAGTATATGGTTTACGTTTGCCGACTAGATCTTCTTTTATACGCACGCAGAGTGTCTACCGATCTATCGTTATTTAAGGTTAGACCTATCACTATCTGCGTGGACAGGCCAACGGATAGAGTAACGTGGCTAATAGCCCTAATACTTACTCAATTGTTGAAGTACATTCCAGCTCATCTAACGAACACCCAAATGTTCCTGGACCGTCTTCGTAACGCGCGACCCAACAGCGCCTACGTGGTGGAGTCCTTCGACATCATTACCCTCTATACGAACGTGTCGAATGACTCCGCTATGCAACCATCCGCGAGCTCCTTATACAACAGGAAGGAGCAATAAATATGTACAGCCCCATTCAGCAGTTGATGACACTCTTAAAGGAGTGCATAAGCTGCTCAATCCTCAGATGGTCCGGGAGATATTACGCACAAATGAGAGGGCTTGCAATGGGACAACGACTGGTACCAAACCTTGCCACTGCATTCATCTCTAAGGTGAAAGCGCAAGTATTCGACCTCGGTCCGCTACTCTACCGTATATATATATATATATATATATATATATATATATATAGATGATTGCTTGGTCATCTGTTCAACACAAGAAGAAATTGACAGATGTTTCGAGTTGTTGAACGAACAGTCAGAGTATGCTGAATTCACTCGATAGAAACCAAAACAAAACTGGCTTCCATTTCTGAACGTGCAAATTAGCCTGTCAGAAAACGGCTACATTACGAAATGGTATCGAAAGCCAAGTAGTAAAAACATCTTGGTCCCCAACAATAACTTTAGCGATAATAAGGTTTCGTTTATCCTGCCCTTCATTTGAAATGAATTAAGTGCAGCTATAAAACGCTGTTTAAGGACCGGTCTAGAGAATTCGGCAACGATAATTGAAATGCCACCGAGTAATCTAAGACGCCAGCTAGTTCGCTACCGCCTATACGACCGCCTATGTGCAGCGCAAAATTGCATAATTTGCCCCAATGGTAGAGACAGTGAGTGCATGAGTTCGGGGGCAGTCTATCTGATCTTTTGTAGTGCATGCTGGCACAAATACGTTGGCGAAACGGGTAGACCACTCTGCGTGCGTATAAAAGAACACCTACTCGGCAGACGTAAACCAAATACTCCATTAGGCACGCATAGGACGCAAAGACATAACGGAGAAGATTTTGAAGTAGGGGCTACGATCCTTGCGCAAGAATCGAGAACACAAGCGCGTAAAACTCTAGAGGCATTCTGGATTAATTCCAAGAATCCGAAAATGAACGGCAGGAAGGAATGCCTCATTATCACGCGTGTTATTTGGTAGTTTATAAGCCTGTTATGTTGATGAGATGGGCACAACACGATTCCGTGTGAACTCTGTGCCGTTGGTCTTCACGTGACACATTTAGTGGAAGGCTGATAGAAAGCGGTGAGTGTGCAAAGACTCCGTGTTCAATGTGATTGAAGTTTTGGTTCAGCATTTTCTCTGTTTGGTTATGGAGGTGTTAGGCCGTGTAGATTGTAGTCAACTTATAAATCCGCCGAAACGTCAGCTTGTACGTAAATAAAGAAGTAAAATAACACCTCGTTTTTGCCGAACAGAAGTAGAAAGAATTATTCAATCAATACCGACGTTAATAGAAAGTCGGACGTGAGAGTTACTATAAGCTACGACTGTTCCTAAGTATCACTTTTATATTGCCATCATCGAAAAATGTCTATCTTATTTAGGGAATGTTTCCAATATAGTCACGCAAATTAGGGTTCTACCTTCCTTGCACTATGCTTAAGTTGTACTTCTTTCACACTAACCGTGGATCGCCCGCATTTTTCTGATAACGGAGGCCTTATTATAGTAGCTTGGAGTGCACACTATGAAAACAACAAAGCCTGCTTAACAAGTAATGAGCAAACAAAAGCACATGCAAACGACCAGTCTATATGATTGCATAGCAAGCAATTCTTTCAGAGGAGAAACTTATTCTCTAGAACTCTCCTTCAGAATCTATCGCAGTGAGCACATCTGCCAACTGCGGCCTACAGTTTTATGGTAGTACTTTTCCACTACAATTTCTGTTTCCTGATTCCCAATCGCGACTCCTCGAGCATTAAAAGGTAACGTCTGAATATTTTTTTACTACATGACCCGACAATGCATGTACCACACTATGCGGATCCCAGAAATTCTTCTATTCGATTCGTTTCCTCGCATTCCCCTCTCACAAAAATCTTGAACTTGTTTGCGTGTAGCTTCAGATTGCTCGAGGATTTTTTCTTCTTCGTAATGGATATCATTGAATATAGCTAGAGGCTATTTTCCCTCAAATTCTAAGATAAGCGAGTTAGGGCATTCCAACGTGAATGAGGAGTTTGCTTGTACCAGACAAGTCTGGTACTAATTTCACATCTCTAGAGGAAAGAGTGGTTTGTGAGCCAAGGATGAAGTCAAGCCAATGTTTGGATGGAATGCGCTGTTCCTGTATTGAACGGCATCATTACGATTACATTGCCACAATCCGCTTCCGCAACTGTATATTGCAGGACTTTAGGTTAGTCGACGTTATGAAACAGATCCACTTCCGAAAGTCTGCGCAGCAACGACTAATAAACTAACTAATTGCTACGCCATGCGCTGTTATTCATCCCATTAACTATTAAATCTATCACTGAACTGCAAGTTTTTAGAGATTTCATTGACCCCTAAAAACCGGCTTGAAAAGTAACGAATCTTGAGGACATAAGAATACCAACTTTCCAACGAGACTGTAACACCCATCATCGGGATGGATAAAAATGTAGTCGACGTGCCGTGCTGGATCGCGGGGGACAAAACGTACGCATGTTTTGTCATGATATTCCTGAAAACTCGAGACAGGAAGAAAAACACGACACTGCTTATTTAAAAATGGAAGCACCACTGGACAGGACACCATTAGATATATTGATTTTATTCATTAGAAGAAAGAAATTGGCTCAATTTAAGAACCTGCATTGCTTTAGCAATCACCGATCTTGCATACGAGCCGTACTGTGATGACAGCGTATAGGGAATCTCTCGGTTTGGCCATTTTCTGTAATAATTGAAAATTTTCCTAGCTAATACTTTTAGCCGAATAGCATTGGGAATAAGAGTAAAACATTTTCTAGATAGAAGCGAAAAGGATTGAAAATGAGGTTTTTAGACATACGTGTAGACACTTTATGATAGACGGATTTCTCACTGAAGATTTTCCCGTGATAATACAATCTTGAATGGAAGTGTACGTTTTAACTTTTAATCACGGATTTCCTCGAATGAGAGGTTTTCAACTGGTTAGCTATGAGGTCACGTAGCGCACCCCAATATGGCGAATACGGGGTTGAACGTGAACCAAAAGCACCCTTGCACTTCAGTAAGGTGCAGTAATGCCAGGTGGAATCGCTGTTGCTGCTGCCCCAATTCGATGTGTACAAGCAGATTGTACCATATAATTCAATTTAGCGAAAAGTTTGGAATAAAATCGCCACCATCACTGCCTCTCTCGTTGTCTCTGGTGAACTATCCGTGAGTGTATTCATCTCCCATTCAACGCAGGCTAATGACCTTGTTTGTTTACGGTAATTCACAATTACAAAACCCTCCTCCTAACACTAGATCCTTCCAGTGGAGAGCCCAAGTAGTGAAGTAGACCACGTTATAATAAATCGAAAGATTTCCCGATGTTGTTCCAAAATTACGAAGTTGCAATCTAAGCAAACAAACAATGATTACATACGTCCCCACAAAGCTAAAAGGATAAGGCTCTCGGCGTTAATCAATGCCTGAGGGATGCGCCATGCATTGGACTTCATTATGCATCGTTGGAGGTGATTGATTGCATATCTGGCCTTTACAATAACTCGCGGTGGCCTATCGACGTGTGAAGTCAATGCTGCTATCCTCCAAGACAGGTCTGGGACGAATTTGCCTACCCCGGAGGGATAGAGGGCTAGGTGAGTTTGGAGCAGGAAATCGAACCCATTTCTATTGCAGGGAACCAGTAACCATTGCGCTACACCCACCCGTATACAAGTCGAAATGTCAAAGTTATGTGGGCCATTCCCATAGTCCGCCGCAACAACAACCAGTGGACGGGAGCAATTCCCGGTTGAGTTTCAAGCGATTGGGTTCTAAGTGGTAAGTCAAGCGCACAGAATTGACACCGACTAACTCGTTGGAAATAATAAATAAAACCCACTCAAACGGGAACAGTTGAAAACTTTATTAGACCCTACTCGAGTCTTGATGACAGGCGATATGTTTAAGCATGGAGCCCCGTAAAATCCCCAGCTTTGCTATTTACGAATCCATCTCATATTTAGACTCTGCACTGAGTAGTAAAGAGTTCCCACAGCTACGTGTTTCACATCAAGTAAGGCTGTCCTCACTGAAAACGATAAACTGGCATGCTGTACCGAAGCATCTGAAAATTTCGCGATTTTGACCTAAGCTGCACTTGAAAAATTTTGACGAGCAACGGGCTGTGGTAAGGACATAGATAAAGCTGAAAATATGGACAGTATATTAAGTGCAGTCGATGACGTTGCGGGCTAATGTTAGGTAAAAGTTAGGAAACACTTCCTGGAAAAGTCCTCAAAATGATAAAACGATGCAAAAGTAATGTGTTCTAGAATAAAAACATCTTAGCTACATAATTGTTTGACTTGGTTGCTCAGACTTTATTGCATTAGAGCTAAAGTCATTTTAAACGACTTATTTCCGAACTTCCCAAAGGTTATTGCACAATGCACAATTAAGCATAATTCAAGCTACCTGACCGGCATCAAAAATTCTTGAGTTACACTTTTGGTGTTTCCTACAAACTGTATCTTCAACAACGCAGCTGCTGCGATCAACAACGAACGAATCACCAAATGAGGAACATTAATATAGGATGTACCATCTATTTCGAAGAGCTCAAATGCCAATCACCTGTATGCCTGTCGTATGGCGTTTCTGCCAAGCTTGTTGTTATCATCGATGAATTTTTTCAGATTTTCTATAGCAATATCCCCTTCCATTTTGCTACCAATCGTTGGATCATCTTTCACTTTGATTCCTGAACACATTTTTAAAGTTTAATTGATTTGAAAATTCAGTGCACTTCATGACTTGATGTTACCGACTTCTTAAGAGGATCACTGCATTACAGGTATGGTCATTGCTCCGGCTCCGAGTTTTAGGCTAAACAAACCGTCTATCCCTCCATGGTTGACAAATTTGTATCATGCTAGTTTGTGAGCATAAAAATTGGAGTCCAATGCAAGGCCAATTTCTACTGCATTAAACAACACTGAATAGTTTGTACTTTCAACCTAAGTACTTTTAGTTACAAATCATGAAAGATATCATAGGCTTCATTTTTGAGCCATCTAAGCGAGCAACTCTTCACTTGGTTAAACTCGACGGTCACACCATCCATTAAACCCATTTCTCATGACTACCAAATTCGCAAGAGAATAAAGCACGCTTATTTCACTGAGTTCAGCGTGTGGTAGACATGTGTAGTTTGCTGTGATCTGAACGTGGAGCTGTGTATATCAACAGGTAGTCGCGCTATCTAATTTGCTAGAGGTGACTCCAAACTGCATCTCATGTACTTCCCTGCTACTTGAATATACGCTTTTAACCAAATTGACTCGTAGAATACAATCTGTGTAAACGGCAACACACTCACGCACACATGCACGAATACGTGGTCATAAAGACAGAGGGAATGTGCCAAATAGAGTCAGCAGAAAACGGGTGTTCGTTCTGCGGATTCATGTGCTTTCAAGGGAAGTACAAGATCGCCTTTCGTCAGCAATTATCCCCCATTAGTCACTTCCTGAGGCGCCACATTGCCTCACGACTAACCGGGGTAATATCCCTATATGAGGAAGAATGTTTACGACTAGTACGGAGAGGCATCTAAAATCTCAGCGCCATGTTAAGCTGTCTAAATCGCAAAGGACTAACGTGGCGATCTGTACCTACAATGCACGCATTCTTAAATGTGAATCATGGATGAAGGAGTTTATCATAAAAGCAGGAATGACTAGGAACGACGTCGTGAACTGGCTGAGATGGGAAGACGCTACTCATTGGGCGCCGTCTATGACACTGGATAAGACGTGCTACTCGGAACAGCGGAGAGTAGAAGAGTCCGCTACATCGGGGTTCTCTTTACCATGAGTTTCGCTGTGAACATCGATTGATTCGAACAACTAACCGTAATCGAGCTACTACGGTTGAAGAGGTGTGGATTAATACCGTCTTTCATAATCCTTGTTGCCTAAACATAGACATCAAGTTATGACAAAGAAGAAATGGAAGAGTTCTATATGGACTTGGAAAAGTTCTACAGAAAAATACATTTTTCAAGGCCATGAACGCTGACGTTGCACCTAGAAGAACATAACTACCCATGGACTGGAATGAAAGGAGCAGGATGAGCGGTTGTCCGAGTTTATTTTGACGACCAAGACCATCCATGGTAACTTGCAATTCCGAAGGCCCTACCTGAACGCTGGAGGTGGAAATATCCCAGTGGACAGTACTATAACAAAATGCACAACATCATAGTAAATCCAATGTTTTCCCTAATCGATACCGCTGTTGTCACAAAATTCTACCCGTGATCAAACAACCGCCTCCATAGTGCAAGATTCTTTTTCTCGCATAAAGGAGAAAAAGCTGCCAAATAAGAAAGCCAAATCCCAGGACCACCGTAAACTGAAACTTATTCAATTCATTAGTTAGCTATTGGGAAGATGCCGTTGTCGATAACATCGACGAAGAATACAGTCGGCTCATTTAACATCTTCACGTTAACGCTATGAAAGCTGAGAGTTCGAAAGTTACCAAGAGACGTCAGTCACCAGAAACACGAGAAACACTCGTCTTGATGTAAGGCGCAATGTGGTATCACACAAGCTACGGGCAACCGCCAACTCACGTCCAGGATTGCAAAACGAGGCAAACAGGCGATAAAAGGGGAGCTTAAGGAGACAAGAACGGCAGTATTGGTCGAAGCTGCAGAGGCTGAGAAAAACATGCACAAAGCCCACTGAAGCTTTGCAAGTTACCAGACTAAGACGATTTCACTCCTACGCCCACACAGAACAGTTAGAGCATCCAAAAAGGCAATGGAAAAGATCATATACGATTACTACTCAGATCTATCTAATAACCACGTCCTCCTGCTCTCACACAGTATAGAGGAGGATGGCTAAATCTTCCCGTAGGCTTCCCCTTCCGAAATTCGCCATGATATTTCGTCGATTAGTAAGATAAGAACACCTGTTCCAGGCAGGATACGATCTAAAAATCTGAAGCACCGTCCGCCAGTCCTCGCAAACCTATTGGCCCGGATCTACAAACGTTAGCTGTCAGAATGCAAAATTTCTATTCTTTGGAAGACCAGCAAGTCTATATTATTGTTCAAGGAGAGTTGTCGCCACGATATCGGTAACTATCGCCAAATATGCTTGCTTTCTATCGTCTACAAACTCTTCCCCCGACTCCTCCCGAACAGGATTAACAGAACGCTGGGCGAAGGATTTCGAAAGAGATTCTCTACGATAGACCACATCCACGCGATAGATAACAAGACCGAAGTAAAGCAAGAATATGAGATCTCTTTCTCTTTCTCTCTCTTTCTCTCTCGTTTTCATCGACTTAAAGGAAGTTTTTGACTAATATGAGATAGAAGCAGCCACGGAAGCTATGGAGAGCGAGGAGGTCCATGCTTATTATGTAAGCACTTTTAATGAGCTATATGAAAATTTTACAACAGAAATATAAGTTTTCACATCGACCGTCATTTAACCTAGAATATCACTTTATCATTTAAAAGTACCACTATTCTACAACGATATTAACATCGACGTGAGAAGAGGCGTGGGGGGCGATACCATCTCGCCAAAATTATTTACCGCCATCTTTGTAAACGTCATGCGAACACGGGAATGAGACAACACAGGAGTGAAAATTGATGAATGGCAATTACACAGTTTCTCTGCTTTGCTGATGACATCGTTAGAAACGTTGGTCTTCGACTTTATTCCACGATTTTCATGAGGAATAAACTTGCTTCCTTGCCCCATTCACGTCCAGTAGTACAAACAATTTTGACTGCTCTAGCTACATGTATTAAGGTCAGGAAATTCACGTGATGAATTACTTACCTCTAGAGTTTTTAGCACGAGGAATCCAGAAGCTTGAGGATCTTTCAAGAGCATCGAGGATGTTAGTGAACAGAATGAAGAATACACGACTCCGTTCTCATCTTTTCCATTCCATGGTTCTCCTGCCTTATGTAGTCGAAAGGACTATGTTACGAGCTTTCCACACCGCGCAAATGAGGGAAGGTATCAGAAACTCTAATCTGCGTCAGCGATGAAACATTAAAGAAAAACATCGTTCAATACGCCAAACTATCGAAGATAATATGGTAAGATGTAATGCGTAGGAACGGCAACCGATGGACGAGAGCCGTTAGTGACTGGATTCTTCGAGATGTGCAACACACAGCAAAGAGACTATCGATCCCTTGGTCAGACTTTTTCACAGAACCATGGAAGGAAGATGTGATGCTTAAACTAGGCTACTCCTGCCGGTGGCAGGAAGAAATGGAAGATTTACCGGCGCCCGCTCGAGTCATTCGATAGGTAGTAAAGGCGATACACCAAATTTGCAAATTTTGGAGTTTTTTACATTTAAGACGACGTTATTAAATAGACCTTCTGATTTAGAAAAATCGTTTCTACCAGGAAGGTATCCTCCTAGTGGCTTATTGCATCACCGTGGCTGGGAGGTGTTCATGGGTGCGATGTACAGCATGGGTTTAGCCACCTGGTAGGGTCCCACATGGTAAGAAGGAGTCCTGCGCTTCCATTGCGAAGCTTAGCTAAGAGTAAACCAATACCAGGATCCTCGACCGTTCTGATATCAAAGTCGTATGGTGGCAAATCTCTCTCTGATACACAAGGGTTCCGACTCCCTATGGTGGTGACGATCTGGGGCAGACTTTGACCAGGCTGTCCTCGGAATTCCAGGGAACCACAATAGCTTAACCAGCTGGTCTCCGAAAGATAGAGGGCCCGCACAACCAGTGAAAACATGCCATTCAAGTATCAAGTAAGTAAATAGACAGGAATGTATTAAAAAGAGCCTTCGTTTTCTGCTTTCAGACATTGGTAGGCGTGAAATGCAACAGCAAACACATTTCACAACTAGATAGAAGAAACAATTTTTTGCGATTCCAGAATTTCACAAGTATCAACACTTATAGTAAATATAAACTATACTTATTTCGTTATGACTCGCCTAGTTTAGTAACGTCGTGTGCAATGAATTCATGAAAATCTTCAGCTGTGAGTACCGTTTCCACATTGGGCTTGGTAGTGTCAATAATCTGAAGTGATGATGGAAAGTTTAGGACACCATAGAATTTAGTTACCAGGAGTTCTCACTGACATCTTTTACAGAGATGGAGGCTCCACTGCACGAAATCTGTCGTACACAGCTGAGTAATACTATTCTAAGTATCATTCTAAAAATCTGAAATTATTCCTTGCATTTAGTGTCAACTTATTACTTCGACTTATTACGTCTATTTCAAATAGCTAGGAAGTGACGAAAAGCGCAGCTTAAGAAGGGGACGAATCGATCATGCTTATATATTACAAGGCGGATTTCTCCTCTATGAAGCATTGCGATTCTCGCGGTAGTGCGGATACATGGCACATCTTCAGGCTCGCGACACATGCTTCGGGTCCTTCTAGCGAGTGGAACCAACCACACAAGTCTAATATTCATAAGGAACAACTCAATACTTCACTGATATTCGCTCTAATCAATTAACGTTTACGCATTTGTTAATCAGTTACAGACATGGCTGCGAATCTTTATAGAATTGATTGGTTTCAATCTTTCATTCTAGAGAATACGTCGTTAATTCGTGACTAACATTTTTCTCCTCGTGCTGTGTGCACATTGCACTGAATAGTGAGTTATGTCGCTAAAGATGCACTGAAGACAATGGATTTAGTGACCAGTATTATCTTTGTATCACTTATGAAATACT